CAGCTTGATTTCAGGTGGTTCTGAATGATGATTGTGTTGTAGTTTCATTGTAATTTTGATGTGGTTGTGGGAAGAGGTGATACCGTGTTTACTTATGCCATCATCTTGACTGGATGTCGTAATCTCTTTATTTTGCCATTCATTTTAAATGATAACCTTGCTGGACAGAGTAGTCGTGGTTGCAGGTCATTGGTTTTCATTACTTTGAATACTTTATGCCAATGCCTTGTGACCTGAAGTAATTCTGTTTAGAAATCAGCCAACAGCCTTATGGGAACTTCCTTGTAGGTAACTGTCTCTCACTTGCTTCCTTTAAGCATCTCTGTCTATAACCTTTTCATTTTAATTATGAGTGTTGGTGAGTATTTCCTTGGGTTGGTCTTTATTGGGACTCTCTGTGCTTCCTGAACCTGTGTGACTTCTATTTTTTTTTTTTTACCAGGTTAGGAAAGTTTTCTGGCATTATTTCTTCAGACAGGTTCTCTGTCCTTTGTCCAATTTCTTCTCTTTCTGGTACACCTATGATGCAGATGATGTTACATTTCATATTATACCAAAATTCCCGAAAATATCCTCATTATTTTTAATTCTTTTTTTCCTTTTGTTGCTCTGTTTGGGATTTTTTTTTTTTTTTTTGCCTTGTCTTCCAAATCGCTGATTTGATCCTCTGCTTCATCCAACCTACTTTTTATTCCTTCCTGTATATTCTTGATATCAGATATGGTATTCTTCCAAATGATTATTTTTTTCATAGTTTCTATGTCCTTTTTTATGCTGATGTAGTTCTCATAAAGTTCCTTGCGCATTCTTGTAAACTTACTTTGAACTCTATATCGGATAAATTTCTTGCCTCCATTTCATTTGGCTTTTTCAGGAGATTCCTCGTGTGTGTGTGTGTGTGTGTGTGTGTGTGTGTGTGTTTCATTTGGGGCCTGTTTCTTTGTCTCCCCTTTTTAGCTTTCTCCCAGTGTTTGTTTCTATGTATTAGATAGAACTGCTATGACTCCCAGTGTTTGTGGGGTGGACTTTATGTAGTATATATTTTGTGGAACCCAGTAGGGCACTGTCTTTGATCTCCTGAGCTCAGTGCTCTAGGAATGTCTATTGTGGGTTATGTGCACACTTTGTTGTAGCTGAGGCTTGATTTCTGTTGGCCATTTTGTAGGTGCAGTTATCCCTTCAGATTTGGTGACTATAAGGGTATACCCTGATCACTGTGTATGAGATGTTGTGCAGGTGCTGCTCCCTGAGGCGTAGTTGTTCCTAGCAACAGCAGGATCTTGGTGCCTGTCAAGATGTACCTCTGGGAGTGCAGGCTGTGTGGCTAGTTTGATTGAGCTCTGATGTGGTCTGAGGCCCTCAGCTGGTTGTGTTGATTCTGGGTTCACTTGGGAGACATCCAGGACCAGTTACTGTCAGACATAGTGTGTAGCCAGTCTTGAGCTACTGTTCTGTAGCTACTACACTACCCACTGTTTGTGTCTCTGTCTAGTGGATCTGTGTGTGCATGTGAGTGGCCAATCAGTTGACTTTTTTCAGCTTATAGTTGGGAGCTGATCTGTGATAGGACTCAGACTCCTGAAAGTCTGCCTCTACCTGCAAACCATTTTCCCTTCCACCTAAGATTGCTTGGTCTTTCTCTAGAGCCTTTTGCACAGAGGCTGTAGGATGTACTTAGGCTGGCCAAGACAGAGCTAGTAGGGCACCTACTTTGGGATCCCTGGTGAGGCATTCAGTGAGGAGAAGGTAGTCCTTGCTTTAAAGCCAAACCCCTCATTTTCTGCCAGGGTCTCCAACGCTAGTTCCTTCCAGGGTGGCTTGATGCAGGTTCAGTTTGTCTATAGCCATCTATCCCATTTGAAGGAGCTAGCTGAGACTCCCTGGGCTCAGGGGCATAGATCAATAGGGTATGTTCTTGACAATAATGCCAGCCCAGCCCATAGGAGGGGGCTAAGCTCTTCCTCCTGGTTCCACACAACAGTCCTCAAGGGTCTCACACTTTGAATGTCCCCACACTGAGCCACTCTTTCTTCCTCCCATAAAACTTCAGCCAGCAGGGGTATCCAGGCCCAGGCAGGGATGATTCAAACAGTCTCCTGTTGCAAATGGTGTGTGCATCCTATAGGAGGGTGGTGAGTAATGTTTCTCCTTCCTGGGGTAGCACAGGCTGAACTTGCAGGTGGAGCCCTGCATTTCCCCCTCAGTCTCTGAGACAAAAGCCTCTCTTAGAGACACAGTTTGAAAATTCCAGTTCCTTGCCAATCCCTGGCACCACCATGCTGCCAAACCAAGCAGGGCAAGGCTGAAAATCACCCCTCTGTTGCTCTCTGATCTCTCAATGTGGCTGGTCTCAGCAGGGTGAGGCCTAAAGTCCCAGCTCCACTGAGGCTCCAAACCCTGGAACTTCCGCTGAAACACCTCACTGTTAGTCAATCCAGGTATCTTTCCAAACTCCAGAGACTATGACCATGTAATGGGTTATGACAAACCATTCACTTTTGATATGGAGGAAACCAGTAAAAAGAACAAGCTTGACGATGGAAAAATAAGTCCATTGTTTTTATGTTTGTGCTTAAATGTGGTTTATTTTCTCATGTATGCTAATAAAATTGTCTTTATTTTTGTTAATGAAAAAAATTAAAAACAAACAAAAGGAAAACAGACAATCCAATTAAAAAGTGGGCAAAGTACTTAAATAGACCCTTCTCTAAAGAGGACATACAATTGGTCAAGAGACATGTGAAATAATGCTCAACATCCCTAATCATCAGATAGATGCAAATTAAAATCACAATAAGGTATCACCTCACACCTGCAAGAATGGCTATGATGAATAAATCAACAAACTGCAAGGGCATGCTGAGTGAAATCAACCAGAGAAAGACAGGTAGCACATTATTTCACTTATATGTAGAATGTAATGTACAAAATAAGGTGACAAAATAGATCCAGAGACATTGAAAGCATGAAACAGACTAATGAACCTCAGAGGGAATGTGGCTGTGGACTCGGGAAGAGGTTGACTACAGAACTTATGTACATATATGAATAATTCATGAACACAGACAATGGTGAGGTGAAGTCCTGTGAGGGGTGGGAGCAGGATGCAGGGGTTGATGGGGGAACATGGGAGGACATGCATAATACTTTCAACAAGAAATATAAATTAAAAAAATAAAAGATGTAATCTGTAAATGCAGCATAGAAAGGAATTATAGAATATTTATAATAATGTAGGGTTAATAAATCAATGGAAGGGGAATAGAATAACAGAATATGTATTTATTGAACCAAAAGGGGTGAAGAACAAATGTGAAATAGAGGTATCAAATAAAAAACATAGTAATATGGAAAATATAACTTTAAATATATTATGATTATATTAGATATCAATAGATAAAATTCCCCAGAAATATAATGCTATACATACAAAGAGCAAAATCCAACTTTACACTGTTAACAACGGACACCTCACAGATATAAGGACACAGAAAAGTTTAATGTGATGAAAAAGAAATGCCATGTAAACACCAACCACAAGAAAGCTGCATCTTTACAACCTACTGTACTAGTGTCTCTATCTGAGTCTGTATCTAAAACTGTATCTGTTTCTATAGCTATAGATAAAAGGTGTCTGTACTAATATCAGAAATAGATGTGGTATTAATGTTGGACACCTTTCTAGAAATGTTTTTAAATTATGAATGCAGTTGTATGCTATTAAATACATTTTAAGACAATTTCCTTGCTTTTTTCTTTATCCTCGCGAGAGGACATTTTTCCATTTTTTGTTCAGATAGAGTAGGAAGGAGAGAGAGAGAAACATTAACGTGAAAGGGACACATCGAGTGGTTGCCACCTGCACAACCCAACCAGGGCCAGGGACAAACTGCAACTGAGGTACGTGCCCTTAGTGGGAACCGAACCCAGGTCTCTCTGGACCACAGGCAGATGCTCTAACCGCTGAGCCAATGGCTAGGGCTAATTTCCTCACTTTTAAAAAAAGCCTTGTTTTGTAGCACATGGCATTTTTCATAGTATGCTTATTTTTATCATGGCTAATTGCAGTTCGCAACATGATGTCATTGATTGTGAGGTGGGAAGAGATGTGCACCTTCAGCTTGAAGCAATGGATGCCAGCATAAAAAAGGGCAAAAAAAAAAAAAAAAAAACCCAAAAAACAAAAAAACACCCAGAGGACATCATGATGGTAAATCAGTGTTGCTCATACATAGCATAAAAATCCATAAGCAAAAACCGACATGTCACCAAAAAAAAAAAAAGACAAATTCACAATTATAATTGTGCAATATGTATTCATCAGATTTTGCATATAACTTATAAGACATGATGAACAAGTGAAAAATATTAATTAGGAATAAAGAATCATTACTAATCCAAGTAACAAAATTGACCTAGGTGGCATATTAACAGCATGTATACATGAAGACAAAATGCTTACTCTATTAATGTTATATGGAGATATCAACCATACAATAATTTTAGGAGACATATCTCACTGTGCTCCTAACTGCAATAAGAGGATTTCGTGATTGCCACTTAAAGAAGTTAACCCTACGGTCACACATTTCTAAGGCCTGTTTTATATCACTGTTCCTCAGGCTGTAGATGAAGGGGTTCAGCATGGGGGTAACTACCGTATACATGACCGAAGCAATGATGTCTTTGGAGTCCCATGATGAGGAGAAAAAGTAAACACCTGCAAGTGTCCCATAGTATAATGACACCACAAACAGGTGGGAGCCGCAGGTAGAAAAGGCTTTTACCAGTCTCTTAGTGGAGGGCACCCTCAGTATGATGGTTCCTATATGGATATATGAGCCCAAAACAATACCCATAGGCAGGAGGTAAAGAAATCCTCCCTCTGCAAAGATGACGAGCATGTTAAGAGAGATGTCTGAGCAGCTCAGCTTCAGAAGTGCAGTGAGATCACAGAAGAAGTGGGTGATGGTGATGTCAGCACAGAAGGACAGTCGGACCAAGAGGAGGGTATGAAAGAGGGCGTGGACAGAGGCAACCATCCAGGAGCCACACACCAGCAGCACACACAGCCACCCCCGCATGATGGTGGTGTAGTGCAGAGGGTGACAGATGGCCACATACCTGTCATATGCCATCACTGCAAGAAGGAAATTGTCAAGAGAACCAAAGAGTATGAAAAAATATAACTGAGAAATGCATCCCACATAGGAGATGGATTGTCGCCGAGTCAGCATGTTCACGAGCATCTTTGGGACAGTGACAGAGGAAAGAGAGATGTCAGAGAAGGCCAAGTGGCTGAGGAAGAAGTACATGGGCGTGTGCAGGCGAGAGTCCAGCCTGATGAGCAGGATGATGAGCAGGTTGCCCAGCACCGTGGTCAGGTACATGCCCAGGAACAGGGTGAAGAACACGCCCTGCTGCCCTGGCCGGAGTGTGAGCCCCAGGAGGAGGAACTCGGACACGCTGCTCTGGTTCTCAGGCCTCATGCTGCTCTCCTTCTGCTGGGGATGAAGATGGGTTTGGAATCTCATGAACCTAGAAAGGACAACCAGGACCATCACATCTCATAGTGACATTAGCTGGGACATGAATTTTAACTACACTGTTATTAATTTCTCACACCTGTGGCTGTGTGCATCTTTGCTCTATCTCTGTCTAGCTTCAGGAATCATAGAACCCCCAAGTCAGTCAACAAGACCTCATTGCACAGAAGCAAATGAACATTCACTGTTTCATCACCATTGTTTATTGAACATCAAGTCATTGTCGGGACCTCTACTAAGACTGAGATGCAGCTGTGAACAGGAAAAGCAAGGTCCCCACTGTTATGTTTGCATCTTGATGAGCATGAAGGGACACTTTCTGCACTAGATCAGCGCTAAACCGTAGTAATTCACTGTGGCAGAAATAGAAAATGAGTCTCTGCAAACTGGTGTCAGTTGTTTCTGCCTTAAAGTAACATGAGACTGCAGAGCTGAGTGGCCTTGTTGGAGCACAGTCACACTCCTGTGCACCTGCTGGGTCCCATTGACCCACAGCTGTAACTTATGGAAAAGCAAGAAATGGGTGTTCATTTGAAACCATGTGATGCCAGTATATCTCCACATATCCACACACTATCTTTCATTATAATGCCGACCACTATGGTGAACATTTTTTGTACTTGACTAAGGACGTGACCTACATTCCCTAATTAAAACCACACATCAGCCCTATATTCCCAGATGTTCAAACCTCTTTATAGTGCACCCAAAATATGTTTTTATCTACTATTGTAGCTTTTAGGATACAGAAACATAAATGACCTCAATCCTATAGGCACACTCAGTTCTATATTGAATAGAATGGCACACACAATTGTGTATATCTGCAAGTATCATATATGTGACAAGGAACTTATATAACAATATATAATCACTACTTTGTATAAATAGAAAATTACCAAGTACTAACATCTTCATAGGGCTGCAGTCTAATATGTCTCTGTGTCAGAAACCAGGCTCCTCACCATTAAACGTGCCAACTTTCCTTCGGTGTCAGGGATCCAAGCATTATCTTAAAGCTGTGAAGATAATAAATTGTCCAAATTTTCTTAGTCCCTGTACTACATCATTTTATTGCTTTATATTTATATACTTTTCAACTGACAATAAGTACTCAAACACATTAACCTTCTATAGACAATAAGTATTTACTAAGAGCCTCTGTAAGAGTCACAAATGAGCATAATTCTTTCTATTTTATACATGTGGAAACTGAGGCCAAGGATTTAAGCAATTTCTAAACATCTCACCACTATTTGATGGTGATTCTGCCCAATAACATCACACAACATGATGCCTGGGGTTTATTTCCCTTTCCCTGAGATGTTTAATAAAGTAAAGAAGAGGTTGCACATTCAGAGCGACTTGTTCACACTCGCAACATGGAAATGATAGCAGTTTGATTCAAGACCCTGGGAGTTGCTCAGAGTGTGGTTATCTCAGCTCATGGTGCCCCAGAAGGAGGACAGTTAAGGACATACTTGAGTCACAGCTGCAGATCAGACACCCCTCACACATAAATACTATTTCTGCTGATTTGAGAATGTCAGTCACTTGTGACCAAATTTTCATCCTAAAAGAAGGATAACCAATATATGAAATAGCTCATAAACATGCTTATGCATAGATATAAGTCATAAGTAACACACAACATCAGATATACACAACACACAATGATGGACCACTTTACCCACAAACACACTCACAATGCAGAACAACATACCTGACTCATGACATACCTGGTAAACACTCAACTCACGACATAGACATAATTCATGCACTGTATACACACACATCACCAAAAATACACAAAACGACAATTCAAAAATCTCACAAGAATCACACACCAACAACACACATGAACACACAGTTCACTCTTACTACAACAAGCAGCACACACCTTCCTATTAATTACAGACATGATTCCCTCCCTTCCTTGGGGAGGCAGTGAGCATGGGGCAGTTAGGCCTATTCAGTCACAGGACAGTCATTACACCACCACCAACACCACATGCACATGGTCACATACACACAGAAAAAGCAAACACCATTCCATTCTGGCCTCATACACGAGTGTGTCACCCACAAACAGCTCACATGTGCCCCAGCACACGCTGGTGAGCAGAGGTCTGAGCCCTCTCTGACCTGACCTTGGTTCCTATGAGGTTGGACATCTTCTTGTCCCAGCAGAGATAACAGTCTCACTCCCGGTGCTCAGACTTGTGCAAATATTTATGATCACAGACATGAATCAGGAGTCCCTACTCACATGTCGGGAGGATGATAACTGGATGTATAAGCACTAATACAGGGCTGTGAGTCAGATACACAGCACACACACACACGCACACACACAATTTTAAAATTATAGGTACACAGGTGTACATGATATATGCAGACACACACAAACACACCATCATGGACACTGAGTCTCATACCTGAACACACCAGCACACAGCCAGATTCATCGCCAAGTGCAGATTTCCAGTTCCTCTGACCTGTGCCCATCATTGGTCCCTCAGACACCTTCTGCTCCAGACTGTTGCCCAACTCTCAGGTTTCCTTCAGGAGGCCCAACACCCAGACAGCTAGAAGAAGTATCTGTGGCCTTGGCACTTCTACACACTTTCATTTTCCTTAAGCAGCTCCAAAGGAATGAGTCCAAAGATAACAGGTAATTACTAATGAGAGACTGAGTGAAAGTCCCCACGCTTCTGGCTGGTTTCTGACTGCCCTTTGGGGAGCTGTGTGTCCAAGCGCCAGAGGGACTGGAGTCCTAGGGGACAGTGTTTTGATTCCAGTCATGCCCTGAACTTCTTTCTTCTTGGGCATTGTTCCAGCTGGGACAAAGGATTTTTCAGCTTTTATTTTTAAATGATTTTAAAGGTATAAAAATAATGTTAAGAATTTAAGGACAGGGAGGGGTTGGGATCGGGAGGAGGGTGTCAATGGGAGAGAAAGGAGAAACATCTGTAACAAAAATAAAATAATAACAAAATAAAATCAATAAAGAAAGAAGGAAATTAAGGACAGGCTTTACACAGATTTTTTTCAGTGATTAACATTTTACTATGTTTACCTTCTAGGTGTTTGTATGTATATATGTTTTAGGTTTAGATTTTCAGCAGTTATACCACAGAGCATATTATTACAAGGCACATGATAAGAATATTTTCAATTACTAATGATTTTATCCTTATCAGTTGGCTAAGGTGGTGTCTGGCAGGTTCTCTACTCTAAAGTTACCACTTTTATTAAGTTATTATTTAACCTTGTAATGAGTAGGTATCATATGGGCAGATATTTTAATACTCTATAAACATGTTTTCCTTATTCAAATATCACCCTCTGTATTTATCATCCAGTGTTGATTCTTATATGACAAGTCATTGTATATGTATTGGCCAAATGGTGATTTATCTCATTCTGCCATTTCTTCTATGTTCTTCTATAAGAAGGCTGTATACTTATTCCTCCTCATTCCCCACTCATTGTTTATTTTTTGTTTTTTTTAATATTTATTTTTAATTAATTAATCAATTTTTGTTACTGATATTCCCCTCCCCCCACCATTGACACACTCCTCCCCATCCTTAACCCCACCTCCCAGCATTATTGTCTGTGTCCTTGTTTACACACATGCGTAAAATTCTGTGGTTTATCTCTTTCCTCCCCCCACATCCCCCTCTTCTGAGGTTGATCAGTCTGCACTCCACTTCCATGTCTCTGGGTCGATTTTGTTCCTCAGCTGGTTTTGTTCATTATATTCCACAAAAATTAATATTGTGTGATATTTGTCTTTCTCCGATTGGCTTGTTTCACTCAGCATAATACTTTCCAGGTCCTTCCAGGTTGTCTCAAAGGATAAAAGTACTTTCCTTCTTACAGCTGCATAGTACTCCATTGTGTATATGTACCACTGCTTTTTTATCCACTCGTCTACTGATGGACATTTGGGCTGTTTCCAGATATTAGTTATTGTAAATAGTGCTGCTACAAACATGGGGGTACATATATTCTTTCTGATTGGTGTTTCAGGCTTCTTGGGGTATATTCCTAGAAGTGGGATCACTGGGTCAAATGGAAGTTATAATGGAAGTTAAAACATTTTAATTTTTTGAGGTAACATCATATTGTTTTCCATAGTGGCTGCAGCAGTCTGCATTCCCACCAGCAGTGTATTAGACTCCCCTTTTCTCCACACTCTTGCCAACATTTGTTGTTTGATGATTTGTTGATGGCGGCCATTTTGACAGGTATGAGGTGATACCTCATTGTTGTTTTAATTTGCATTAATTTGCATTAGATGATTAGCGATGTTGAGCATTTCTCCATATGTCTCTTAGCCATTTGGATGTCCTGTTTGGAGAGGTGTCTATTTAGTTCCTCTGCCCATTTTTTAATTGGGTTCTTTATCTTTCTTTTTTTTTTTTTTTTTTTTTTTTTAAAAATCCTCATCCAAGGACATTTTTCCATTCTTTGTACAGACAGAGTGGGAGGGAGAGAGAGGAAGAGAGAGAGAGAGGGAAACATCGATGTGAAAGGAACACATCGAGTGGCTGCCACCCGCACGACCAACCAGGGCTGGGGACAAACTGCAACCGAGGTACGTGCCCTTAGCGGGAACCGAACCCGGGTCTCTCCGGACCGCAGGCCGACGCTCTAACCGCTGAGCCAAACCGGCCAGGGCTCTTTTGTTGTTTTGTATGAGCACTATATATACTGGAGATTAACCACTTATCTGATATATCATTGGCAATTATGCTCTCCCATATAGTGGGTAGCCTTTCCATTTTGATGATTGTATCTTTTGCTGTGCAGAAGCTTTTGAGTTTGATGTAGTCCCATGTGTTCATTTTCTCCTTTGTTTCTATTGCCTTAGGTGATGTATCAGTGAAAATTCTGCTTTGTATGATGTCTAAAATTTTGTTGCCTACAGTTTC